CCTTCTCCCTCTCCCTCTCCCCTTCCCCCTTCACATCATGATTAATTTTCAATTCTCTTTATATACAGAAGATCAATTTAGCGTATGTTAAATAAAGATTACCACATTTTGCTCCCCACACAGAAACATAAAGTGTAAAATACTATTTGAGTACTAGTTATAGCATTAATTAAACACTTAAGATTAATTGTGTATTAATTACAGAGCTCAACCAATAGTTTTAAGTAGAATATAAAATGCATCTTTTGCATTGTTGTGCCTTCCCCCCCGACCTCCCTCCCTCCCGTAGCCCTCCCCTCACCCACTTCCTCTCCCCTCCCCCCCCCATCACGTTTCATTTTCGGTTACCTTCATATACCGAAGATCAATTTAGTATATACTAAGCAGGGATTTCAACAGGTTGCACTCACACAACCGAACCAGGTATAGGGTATTGTTCGACTAGTAGTGTTGTTTTTGAGTTTCATAGATAAACATATTAAGGACAGAGATCCTGCGAGGGGAGCATGAACCCAGTGACTCCCATTGTTGATTTAACAATTGGCACTCTTATTTATGACGTCAGCAATCACCCGAGACTCTTGCTATGAGCTGTCTAGGCTATGGAAGCCCCTTGAGTTCACCAACTCTGAATTTGTTTAGTCAAGGCCATATCACAGTGGAGGTTCCTTCCTCCCTTCAGAGAAAGGCGGCTCTCTCCTTGAAGGCCTGATCCTTCTGCTGGAGTGTTGTTCACCAGGATCCTTCATTTAGATTGTTTTTTGCCACCATGTCATGGCTTTCCATGCCTGAGAGACTCTCATGGACCTTTTAGTCAGATCCGAATGTCCCAAGGGTTGATTCTGAGACAGGAGTGCTGTTTTGGGCATTTGCCATTCTATGAGTCTGCTGTCTGACCTGCTTCCCCCGCAGGATCATTCTCAACCCTTTTGATTCTATCTTTCATTATTTGCTTACACTGGTCTTATTTGTGTAATCTCTTCGACACTTACCCTATCTTTTGGATCAGTTGTGTATTTATATTTGTCTCTTTACCAAGTGTGCTGGCATTGGTACCTGCCTCCTTGGTAAGATTGAGTTGAAATCCCCTGGCACATTTCCAGTTCCACCATTGGAGGTAGGTCTGAGTGAGTATGTGCCGTCCTATATATCTCCTCCTTCTCTTATTCCCACTCCCATGTTCCACAGAGATCAATTTCCTATTAATTTTTAAACGCTTAAGAATGGTTATGCATTGATTGCAGAGTTCAACCAGTGGTCTTGTGTAGAGCATACCAAGCAACAACAACAACAACAAAAATACTAAAGGAACAAAATAGTAAGTTTTTCCTCAACAGTCTAGACAAGGGCTGCTCATGTCATTGTCTCTCATAGTGTCCATTTCACTTCAATGGGTATCATTTTAGGTGCTCGTTTAGTTGCCATCGATCAGGGAGAACATGTGATATTTATCCCTTTTGGACTGGCTTATTTCACTCAGCATGATGTTTTCCAGCTTCCTCCATTTTGTTGTGAATGCCCAGATTTCGTTGTTTTTTTACTGCTGTATAGTGTTCCATAGAGTACATACCCCATAGTTTCTTTATCCAGTCATCCGTTGATGGACATTTAGGTTGATTCCATGTCTTAGCTATTGTGAATTGAGCTGCAACAAATATTGAGGTGCAAATGGCTTTTTTCACCCCTTTAATTCCATTTGGGTATATTCCAAGGAGTGGGATGGCTGGGTCCTGTGGTAGTGCTATGTTCAGGTTTCTGAGGACTCTCCAGACTGTCTTCCATAGTGGCTTTACCAGCTTGCATTCCCACCAACAGTGGATTAGTGTCCCCTTTTCTCCACATCCTCGCCAGCATCTGTTGTTGGTTGATTTCTGTACGTAAGCCAATCTAACCGGAGTGAGGTGGTATCTCATTGTGGTTTTGATCTGCATTTCCCTGATGGCTAGGGATCCTGAGCATTTTTTCATGTGCCTGTTGGCCATTTGGATTTCCTCTTTTGAAAAATGCCTGTTAAGGTCCTTGGCCCATTTTTTTATTGGGTTGTTTGTTTTGATTCTGTGGTGTTTTTTGATCATTGTGTAGATTCTAGTTGTTAATCCTTTATCTGTTGTGTAGTTTGCGAATAATGTCTCCCATTCTGTTGGTTGCCTCTTCGCTTTCCTGACTGTTTCCTTTGCTGTTAAGAAACTCTTCAATTTTAGGTAATCCCATTTGTTTATTTTATCTTTGATTACCCGTGCCTGTGGAGTCTTCTCCAGGAATTCTTCGCCTATTCCGATATCTTGGAGGGTTTCCCCTATGCTCTCAATTAGTTTCATGGTGTCGTGGCGCAACTCTAGTTCTTTGATCCATGTTGAGTGGATTTTTGTATAAGGTGTAAGGTAGGGGTCTTGCTTCATACTGCAGCATGTGGACATCCAGTTTTCCCAGCACCATTTGTTGAAGAGGCTGTCCTTGTTCCAGGGGTTGGTTTTAGGTCCTTTGTCAAATATGAGTTGGTTATAGATGTTTGGATTGATCTCCGGTGTTTCTATTCTGTTCCATTGGTCTATCCATCTGTTTTTGTACCAGTAACAGACTGTTTTGATTATAACTGCCCTGTAGTATGCTTTGAAGACTGGAATTGTGATGCCTCCGGCCTTGTTTTTATTGTAAAGGATTGCTTTAGCTATTCTGGGTCTCCTGTTTCTCCATATGAATTTCAGCATCGTTTTTTCTAGGTCTTTGAAGAATGACTTTGGTATTTTGATTGGTATTGCATTGAACTTGTAAATTGCTTTTGGGAGAATGGACATTTTGATGATATTGATTGTCCCAATCCATGAGCATGGCAGGTTTTTCCATTTTTTTGTGTCGTCTTCTATTTCTTTCTTTAGTGTTTTGTAATTTTCATCATAGAGTTCTTTGACCTCCTTGGTTAAATTTATTCCAAGGTACTTTATTGTTTTTGTGGCTATTGTGAATGGGATTGATCTTAGTAGTTCTTCCTCGGCCCTGGCATTGTCTGTGTATACAAAGGCTGTTGATTTCTGAGCGTTGACTTTGTATCCTGCTACTTTACCAAACTCTTCTATGAGTTTCAGTAGCCTCTTATAGGAGTTTATTGGGTCCTCTATATATAGTATCATGTCATCTGCAAACAGGGATAGTTTGACTTCCTCCTTTCCCATTTGTATCCCTTTAATTTCTTTTTCTTGCCTGATGGCTCTGGCTAAGACTTCTAGGACTATATTGAATAGCAATGGTGAGAGTGGGCATCCCTGTCTGGTGCCAGATCTCAATGGAAATGCCTCCAACTTTTCCCAATTCAATATGATGCTGGCCTTTGGTTTATCATAGATTGCCTTAATTGTGTTGAGGAATGTTCCTTCTAACCCCGATTTGCTTAGGGTTTTCATCATGAAGGGGTGTTGTATTTTGTCAAATGCTTTCTCTGCATCTATTGAGATAACCATATGATTTTTGTTTCTCAATTTAATGTGCTGGATTACGTTGATTGACTTTCAAATATTGAACCATCCCTGCATACCAGGGATAAATCCCACTTGGTCCGGGTGAATGATCTTTCTGATGTGTAGTTGGATTCGGTTTGCCAGAATTTTATTGAGTATTTTTGCATCTATGTTCATCAGGGAGATAGGTCTGTAGTTTTCTTTCTCTGCTGTGTCTTTTCCGGGCTTAGGAATTAAGGTGATATTGGCTTCATAGAAGGAATTTGGGAGGATTCCCTCTCTTTCAATCGTTTGGAATAATTTGAGAAGAACTGGGGTTAGTTGTTCTCTAAATGCCTGGTAAAATTCGGCAGTGAAGCCATCCAGTCCTGGGCTCTTCTTTTTCGGTAGTGCGTTTATTACTGATTCAATTTCTTCCATGGTTATGGGTCTGTTTAGATTTTCTATATCTTCACGGCTCAGTTTAGGAAGGTTGCATTTGTCCAGGAATCTATCCATTTCTTCCAGGTTCCCCAATTTGTTAGCATACATCTCTTTGTAGTAGTTTCTGATGATTCTTTTTATTTCTATTGTGTCAGTTGTTACATTTCCATTACTATCTTTGATTTTACAGATTTGGGTCTTCTCTCTCCTTTTTTTGGTTAGTTGGGCCAATTGTGTGTTGATTTTGTTTATTTTTTCAAAGAACCAGCTCCTGGTTTTGTTGATCTTTTGTATTGTTTTTTTGGTTTCAATTCTGTTTATTTCTTCTCTGATCTTTAGTATTTATTTCCTCTAAGGTGTATATATTTTCTTATGTGAATAATTTATCCAAACTGTTCCCAGTGTGGATCTAAGCCAAATCTCCAGAGATTTTGTATGATAAAACAATGTTCTCACATTTAAACAGTAATTAGTTGGGTACCAAATCTGAGGTCTTGATTTTTTCTAGTGCTCTTAAAAATAGTAGCCCACTGTTTTCTTGCATCCAATGTTAAGCTGAAATACCTGATATTTATCTGATTTTCATTTCTTTAATGTGAACTATGTCCTCCTATTCTTTCTTTTGTATTTGGTTAATATATACTGAATGTCTACTATGTGTGAGGCACTAAGTTAAGCATGAGGTACAGGAGTGTATCACCAGCATCATCTGAATTCTTGGAGCGTGCTATCCAGTGGCACGCATTTAAAAGACAAAAGAATATATTTTAAGGTCATTTTTTAACAAAGAATTACACTGCTTTTATTATTGTCTTAAAGATTCAGTCTTACATTGAGTACTCTGATACCATTTACTTCAACCTGATTTGCTATTTACAGTTCCAAGTTCCCTCTGTAATGTTCATCTGATGTGGCAGAAAATTCATTTAGAACAGGTTCAGTTTTTTCACAACTGCCAAAAAGTCATATGCAGTTGATTATAAGAAGAACTCATTATCAGTGGTTGGGGGAAGGAATTGCTGTATTCAATATCATGCCTCTACTCTGAATTAAGAAACTTAGAGAATGTACAAATACCTTCATACTTTAAGATGCTGTTGTTCACTTTCTGGGAAAATAAAATTATACTTTGTGGCTGGGAAGAAGCTCTGTGAGGCTTAAGAAAAATTATGAAGCAGAAGGAAATGGAGTGAACACATGATAAATATTCAAAAAATAATCCTGCCCTGGAAGTCTCAAATGTACTAAATCCTCTATGAATTATGTTTCTTTCCATAAAAACCAGGATATGCTCATACACAAATATACGTGCATGTGCAGTATTAGCATACCGTTCCAGATAACTACAACCAGGCTTAGCCACCAGATTCTGAGAAGACAAAAGAAAATGGAACCAGAGAGAAGGGAGAGATGGCAGTTTAGATTTATTAGAAAAACCTGTATATCCTTGGCAACTGTTTAATGAAATCACACAATTCAATATATATCTTCTTACAGAACATCATTAATAAAATTCTACAGTCCTGGCCCTCCTGGGAACTCAAACATGATAGCAACAGATAATTGCCTTTGTGCAAAACACCAACAAGATGAAATATATTTTTTCTAACTAAGCTAGACTTTAATATTGGAAATCTTGCACATAACATGAAATAACTGACTTGTATCCCTAAAGAAAAATACTTCATGAAACAAAAATCTAAGGAATGCAAGGACTAATTTCTCATTACACACTGTTATCTAGATTGTTTTATGAACAAAGAAAGTTCATGTCAGTAAAACAAGCAAGTTTTTAGCTTCGATAAATCTTTAAAAACACAATAGAGATGTCTGGGCCATTTTAAATCCATCATTCATTACATACACTCAAAAGGTAAAATGTGTAACTTCTATCTTTTAAACATGCTGACAGAAGAAAAAAGAGAACAGGTATTCTGACTTTCTGAAGTCCCCTTGGATCTCTCTTGTTATTAATGAGGTTAATACCTGATTCCTCAGCTGAGACAAGGTATTCACTTGTGTATGAAATTACTTCAATTTGTAGAAAATGGAATTTTTAGTTTTTCAAAATGTGCATTTTCCACAAACGTTTTTTGCAACAAAATAAACTTATCTTTTAATTAAATGTCACATAAACTTTTTGAAGTCCTCTTATATTAGGTGATTTTTTTAGTCCAAGCTCATATTCCTTGAAACATTATCTAAAGAATTCTGCAAGAATAGTTTGATGCCTGAACCAAATATGAATTCAATCAGATAGCATCTACATTTCCTCCTGCATACATTCAGAAGCTTTAACAATCTTCACCAAGTTTACCTAAATATTTGGCATGAGGGTTTGTTTGTATTCCTCATACAGAATGAATTTAGGATGCAAACTGAACACAATGGCCTGCATATGATTACTAAAATTCTTTCAGATTTTTTTCTCTCTATCAATGTGAAGATTCAAGAAAGACACTTACTTTTGGTACTCCTTGGAGTGTAGGCAGTATATTTGTAATATACTTTATACTAAGGTATAATCTTTTATATGCTTAGTATGTCTCTTTTAGACTTAAACCAGCCAAAAGTGATTTTTATCTAAAGTGGTTATATTAATCTAACAATAAAAATATTTAATTAGAATATATAGTATGTATTCTCTTAGTTTATCTTTATGAAATTATTATACATTTGCATCAATAATTCTAAGAGGAACTATATAATAAAGACAACATAATTTTTACTTTTTGGTCTCCAAATATTTTTACTTGACAATATCAGCGATTTTTTAAAAGATTTTATTTATTTATTTATTTTTATTTTTTATTTATTTTATTTTATTTTATTTATTTATTTGAGAGGTAGAGTTACAGACAGTGAGAGGAAGAGACAGAGAGAAAGGTCTTCCTTCCATTAGTTCACTCCCCAAATGGCCACAATGGCTGGAGCTGCACTGACCTGAAGCCAGGAGCCAGGAACTCCATCCTGGTCTCCCATGAGGGTGCGGGGACCCAGGGACTTGGGCCATCTTCTACTGCTTTCCCAGGCCATAGCAGAGAGCTGGATTAGAAGACACGCAGCTGGGACTAGAATTGGTGCCCATGTGGGATGCTGGCGCCTCAGGCTCTAGAGGATTAACCTATGGTGCCACAGCACCAGCCCCCATATCAGTGATTTTTTAAACCACTGTTTGGAAGCAACGTATCAGCGCTTTCGTTTGCCCAGCAGATAGTCTTTGTCTTGCCTTCACTGGGGTGGCTCCCACTTCACACAAAGTTTAAAAATTATGCCTACAAAGAACTGACAACCTTGGTACAAAGGTACCATTTCCACTTACCTAGGGCCTCTAGGCATTAGCATCCCCAAACTTCTGCCCCATCATCTAGAGGATTCCATCTTCCATCCCACTCCATGCTGCATCACTCAGGAGAGATGCACCTTCCCAGAAAACCAACAAACACAACTTCTCTGCCACACACACACACACACACACACAGTGCCAGAGAAAGATAGAGAGAAAGAAACCTCACTTTTCATAAATCCAGAACTGTACAATCATAAAATCCAGAAATGGTTTTCAATCAATAGATATCTAGGATTCTATGTTGCACTTAAGAAATTTTTTTTAATATATATGGAAGGTACCACACATTGCTGATCTGAGATAAATCTGAGATAAAATAAAGTCTAAATACAGCCTTGGCATGAAGTTCCATATTCCATGCCTCCTTTCAGAGTTTGGACCATTACTAATTTCTTTGAGTTAATTTGAAATATTTATTTGTGATTTGAAAAGTATATATGCCTCTTCGTCCACTTTTACTAGTAACAAACTCAGCTTTTATAGCATGAACAGCCATTATAACAATAAGTTACCATTTTGTTTTTGAGTGTCTGCCATCTGTCAGACAATATATGAGTGTTTTACATATATTTTCTCTCATCTTTACAACTCTTCACGATGGTCCAAGATTGCTTGGTCAGAAAATGCTTGAGCTCTGTTCTTTTTTTTTTTAGTTAATCTTTTTTTTAATTTTTAATTTAGTAAATATAACTTTTCAAAGTACAGTTAATGGATTACAATGGCTTCTCCCCCCCCCATAATTTCCCTCCCACTCATACCCCTCCCATCTCCTGCTCCCTCTCCCATTCCATTCACATCAAGATTCATTTTCAGTTATCTTTATATATAGAAGATCAATTCAGTATATATTAAGTAAAGATTCCATCAGTTTGCACCCACACAGAAACACAAAGTGTAAAATACTGTTTCAGTACTAGTTATAGCATTACTTCACATTGGACAATACACTAAGGACAGATCACACATGAGAAGTAAGTACACAGTGACTCCTGTTGTTGACTTAACAATTTGACACTCTTGTTTATGGTGTCAGTAATCTCCCTA